AAGCTGATCAGGATGTTCGAGTCTGAGCTGACACCGCTACAGACGGAAAAAGCTGCGCATTACTATTACTAGTGGACGTCATATCCCTATCGCAACGAGCCAAACGCGTAGGTATGAGATGATGGGGGTAATGACTTGCGCAGCACGGCTTTCTACGGAAGCTCGTGCTTCCTCGTGCTTCTTTTCCGAATCACACCTGCTCTTTCCTCTCCCAAACCACCCAACACATATCCCGGCAAACTTCCTATCTGCGCTCTGAGAGGGCCCTTGGATGGTCCAATCAAGACAGCTTATACCGCCTGGTCGCATCGTATACGGAGCTCCCGAGGCTGTTCAACGTCCCCTGTCCAAGCGGCAAATGGCGACAATTTCTCAAGATCGTGAAGCGAGCCAGCACCGCACCACTCATCGTATGCAAGGTGTCGCTGCTCTCTGGTACTGAATGAGGCAAACCCTCAAGTAGGCGACTGGCTAGCTCATATGGCAGCGAGGCTTTCTTCCAGGATTTGAAGAATTGATGCGACGTGCCAGTCCCCGGAGATGCTGTGGTGTGCAAGCTGGTCCACTAAATTCAAGCGGCTGCCTGGCGGCGAGCCTTCTCGCCCCAACCTCTCGAGGCCCTTTCTTCTAACCACCTTTTGCCAGGACCTTCGTGCTCAAGGTACCCATAACGACGACACGCCGAACCTCTTTCGAAGCATTCACGTCCCTGCTGACACCTTATCGACATACCCGCGTCTTCGTCCCCGCCTCAACGTATGAACCTTTAACGCCAAACTCCTGGAGTATTTTTGGTGTGCCAAACAGCCCGACTGGACTCATAGCACGACAATCTTTCCGAGCAACACAAGAACTTCCACAAACATAACCCATTGCAACAACAAGACAAGAAAAGAATGAGGAAAACGTGCGGACATGGGCAGCCGAGGACAGATCCTCCAAGTCGATTCCGATCATCGAGAGCATTTTGACACGACGACTGATCCGACATCAGCTCAACGACATTGACGATAACTAAAGAGCTTGGTGCACATGCCACAGCACGATCACATCGATCGATACTTCGTACGCGACAACGCTGGGCCAGGGGCGAGGTGGCGATGGGCCTTGCGATAGTGCTTCAAGCGTGCGTCTTGGCGTTTGTAGCCCTTCGAACATCCAGGCTCTTCACAAACATATTCCCGACCCTCCTGATGCTGGTAGCTACCATGCTTCAAACGCCGGTGGCGTGCAAGACTTCCCTTCGCGTATGTACCTTGGAAACTGGCACGGCAGCCACGCTCAGAGCAGTTTAGGCGACTTTCATCTTGTGTTGAGGGTTCACGACCCATGTTTGTTGCTAATGGGTTCATAGAGAAGTCGTCCTGAGATTGCTGAACTTCCTGCGAGTCCGACGTGCTGCACCAAGTTAAGCGTATATCTCTTGGCTTGCGGTGTGTATCTACTTACTTGGAGAATGCACTGTAAGGCGAACAGTCGCGACCCTCCACAGATGTTGCTACATGATCGAATGGTCTCCCGGGGAGCCGACCTGGCGCGGACGCCATAGAAATCGTTGAGCTCCGTCGAGACGAGGAACTCTGGTCGTGACTCTCCGGAGACAGATACGAACCCGATTCCACATCTGCTCCATGTGTTGTGATGCGATTCCATGGCGAGGTTGGTGTAGTCACCGTTCCATGGGAATATGATGTCGAAGCGCCTGCGTTCCCAGGATCGGTCACTCTACTTTCGCCTGTCGGCGAGTCGATGCTGATGAATGGTACCGCATTGCGTCTATGCTGAGGGAACAATCGAGAGTCGGACTGTATTGACTCGTTCCACAGTCCATTTGGAGAGCAATCTTCCACATAAGGGTACTGGTCATCGTATCCCATCGCTGGCTGTGTTGGCGAAGTCTGATCTTTCGTGTCGGCCCGCATAGAGACCATGAAGTTTGGGTTTTCAGCGTGGTTCCAGCCCGGACTACTCACATCGTACAAATGGTTGTCGCACTGCCACCCTTGTACCATGCCTTGATCGCCCACGCTCTGGAAGGCCTCTGGGCTTGGCACCATTGATCTTGGCCCAAAGCTTCCGGAACCGTCCATGGTACTTATGTATCCTGGCGTTGATCGATCATGACTTTGGTTTACCATCATCGGGTATCCTGCCGGCGGCCTGCCTGATCCGCCTCTGGTGTCAAACACGTTCGTCTCCGTATTGAAAATACTCGAGCGCTCCGGCCAGTCCGATGTCATCTTGTATGCCAGACCACAGCTCCGTTTTTCAGAGCGTTATCAGTTAAGTTTGTGGTTGATCAGAGGTCCTTTGGAAGGCTTGGACGACGTGACGACGTAGGGACCCGATGGTGTGAGCAGCAGGGCGGCACGCGAGGGCGAACTGCGCTAGGCGTCGTTGACGAGGCTGGCGACTTCGAAACGAGATCAGTAACGTCGGTGATTTGGTCTCAAAAGAGGGGGGTTCTAATGTACGATGAGCAGCGACTTCAATGTGTCTTGGAGGCATGGGGTGACGAACTGATCGCTATCGTCGCGAAACCGACGGGGGATGCTAGCGTAAAGAGGATGCCTCCAGCTTGACAGTAGCATCTGACGACATTTGCATCGTTATTGCGTCGATTGTGGTACCAAGGACAATGTTGGTCGTTGCCTCACTTTTTCTTTGGTGCCAGCAAGCGGACCAGCATCGACGTGGGCTGTGCAGACACGTGCGGAGAAAAAGGTCAACGAGATGGCCCTAGGCGTCCTGTTGTTGCCAAACAATGTCTGAGAGCGGAGACTGCGTGCGGTTCGACCCTCTTCCAATGGATCGAGAACGTAAGATGAGCGCGTGGAGGGACTCGGAAGACACTCCAGACTGTACGGCTCCAGTCGTGCTGTGTCCGCGTCAGCGGTGGAAAGTCGACCGCAGGAACGAGGCCAGCTTTCGACAGGGCCTGGTACCTTTCTGGCCACTGATGTCACGCGTCAGCACAAATACACGCGCTTTGAATCCCTCACACGTCAACTAGCAGCAGGCAGACTCACGAATAGACGCAAGTCTAGGACGTTAGTATGCCTCAGCGACATCGCTCACACCCCGAATCGTCTGCGGTACTGCAGTCGATGGTCGTGGCTGAGCGCGAGGCATATCCCGTCGTCACGCATGAGCCTGTTGCTGTATGCGCAGGTAAAGCGGGTAAAGCGAGTGCCAGGAACCCTATGGCAGACGACTGAGTCGCGAGCCGCCTTTGATTGCATACATAGGCTGACGACAGGATCGTTCCGGTGAATAGCGAGCGGCGGTCGCAAGTGGAAGACGTGGCACTGGCGAGCACGGTTCTTGACGATGGAAAGGATCTGGGGTGAACAGACTCCCTTCGGGAGTGCGACAGGATTTGGAACGGCAGCTGCGCTTATACCATAAGGACTGCGTAAGCGGTCTTGCCCATGGCTGGATTCTTATGGACGCCTCCAGCTCTCAACATCTGCATGACGGATGCAGACTCGCAGGTCGCAACCCTTTCGGTAATTGCACGAGGACACATAACCGTCCATCTTCCACACACACACGGCTAGCGAGATGCGGCATGGCGGAGTGGTAAACAAATTTTGTGTCTTATCTTTGTCAACCTGCTGAAAGCCAGCCTTGCCATTGAAGTTGAGCGTGCTGTGTGGGCTACCGCAGAGCCTCACGGCTTGCCACTGCCGACAGCATCGATAGCTACTTGGGGAAGTGCCATCAGAAATCCTCGCTCTACATTCGAAGCAAACTTTGGATTGCTGCCCCGTCGAATATCAAACCTTGTGGATGTATTGACAAGCCGCTTTCTTCGGCCTGACAATTTTCAGTAGGCCTAAGAACCAGAGATACAGAACGCCCATGCGTACATGACCACACTGCCGCTGATAGCCACCGATGCAATCGCTACAGCCGTCGAAAACATGCGACACTATGCCCGCTGGATGGATTAGCCAATCACCTGTCAATAGCAGAGCCGCTTCCGTTCTGGCCAAGTGTTGGTGCAAGGCAAGGAGTTCGCAGGTCAGCCAGGGATGTTCGTAAACACCCATGGAAACAGCCGATATCTCGATCGAAGTGCGGGGCTTCTGATGCCCATCTATTGAGTGCACCATCCGTAGTGGTTGCTGTGGTTTGGGACTAGCGCTCAATATGTAGCGAGTGGTTGCATGGCTACACAGCGGCATGGCCAAACAAGTTCCAATCGCCACACTCACCTTAGACGATCTATGATTCCCCACCTGTTGATCGTGACCTCAGTAGACGATCTGACAGCTGAGCGCTTATTGACAGTGAAGCTCAGGCAGCTCGCAGCGCTTGCGCTTGTGATTTGAGCTGTTCACTACTTTAAAAAGGCAGGCTTTTCGGGACTGAAAGTCTCAAGGTGACGGCGAAATGGGCCGCACCTGACTAGCATGTCTGTCAGGCCAAGACATACCTGCATTTTATTCAGTATTGTGGCGTCAAACCACCAGACATCCGCAGCTCGCGCGGGCTTTACCTAGCTCTGGAAGTAAAGCAGCCACAACGCATGTTCACTGTCCACAAGCGCTCCTCCGGAATTGCGCCCGCTTCGAGAGACATATGGTTTCTGCCTACCACATGTGCACTGCAAACCTCATGCATCTGCCGGTTGTGAATCGCGTTCGCGCATGCGGGTGCATTCAGCTCGCCTGTGGAGGCTGGTTGGATACAGAAATCACGCTAAGCTGTTTACGGACTAGCATCCCCATCCCAGTCACGTGCCATATGGGCGAGATACGGCGGCTCTCTGCTATCGTTGCTGTTCATCCCAATTCCATCAAAAGTCCTACGCCGAACCAATTACGAAAAATTGCCCGAACATGAATGAATGATGTGGACATCAACAAAGGGACGAGTATCTAGGTACCTAGGAGACCAGTGCGAAGGGAATATCATGACGTCGTTATCTAATAGCTGAGCTAGGATCAGGCGCGAAAGACCACCGAAAACATATGCTCTTCACCGACTACCTTTCAACCAATGTGCCTTCTCCCATGAAAGCGCGGATACAACCTTTTCCTCCTCCTCAGCCACGAAATCAAGCTCCTCGGGTTCTTCAATGTGGTCGTATGCTCCCCATGACCTAGGGAGGAGGGGTCTATCCGGGTCGTAGTCATCTCCGAGACAGCGGAGGGACTTCTAGACTCTTCTACCCACTCCTTGCTCTTATCACCAACCTGCGCAGTCTCTTGGAGGAGCCCCTGTTGTTCTACGACGTTCCGCGAAAGACAGCTCACGAGCGTTTCAACATCTTCCAAGGTACTCATGGCCCCCAGGGTCACCCTGACTATCCCAAAAGGCACTCCGTCCACAACATCGGCCTCCGTATTGCATCGAAGACCTGCGTCGAACGCACCCCGTATCCATCCAGCCTCTACACCCAGCGCACATGCCATACCTGCAGGATTGCACACGTTGCCCGTGCGAACGTGGATCCTACTCGCCCTGAGGAACGCTCCAACGTGCCACGGGCCGATGTATGCGCCATTGCTTCTCTGTATGTTGAAAGCTATTGTCGGCCCTTGTCTTTGCGCATTTTGATAGTCAGAGTCTATCGACTTATATACTTGGCATACTGGTGCACCATTGTAGTGCATCATGCTCGTCAAACGATCGTGAAGGATGCTAGCAAGCCACCTAGCGTGTATCGAGACTTGTTCAAGCCCGCCGAACAACGCGCGATGAGTCGTTATAGCACACTTCAGAGCAAGAATATTCCGGAAAGCGATCGTCCCGTCCTCTAACCGTGCGTGGAGGCTAGAGTCCTTGCGGGCTACCCATGATTCTCCAAGGCAGGTTGTCATCTCTGTCGTGCCGCCGCCGAAGTACTTCCGGTGATCGAACACATGGCCAGCCGCCTTCCGGACAATCAGAGCACCGAGATCAGGGAACCCAAAGATCTTGTAGAAGGATAACGAGATGAAGTCGGGGGCGAAGAGATGGTTGCTCAAGTCGATTGGGGTCGTGGATACCAAGGCTGCTACGTCAAGCAGAGAGTATGAGTTCGGATGGTGTAACGACAAGCGTAGCTTGCCTGTCCAATCCAGCGGAAGTCGCTCGCCGTTCATGTTCCTGTGGATGATAACGTCAGTGTCAACTCCTCTTCCATCAAGTGCAAGGCCACCTACGACTGCGCTGGATAGGCAAACAACAATGGTCTCTCCGCAAGAGGACCTTTGAAGGGACAGTCGTTTGTTCCGGCGAGCCAGTCTTCTGTCTCCTCATTGGATGCGAAACAGTGGCTACGATTGGCCAGCTCTCGGACACCAACCAGACTTGTATGGCTGTTACGATGATAACAGTAATTGAATCCTTCCTCGTATCCAGAGAACCCCTCTGTCACCAACTTGATGGCACCGGTGGCATTAGCGGTGAAGACAACATCAAAGTGAACGGGGTCTGCGCTGAACATCTTTAAGACAGCAAGCCGGGTTTGCTCTACCATGACGGCAGTCACACTCGGGTTGGATGAATCAGAGTGAGGATTGGCGAGGAGAGTGCTTTGCATCTCGTCGCAGAAGGACTTGAGTAAAGACTTGGGTGCGAGCGTCGTGCCGCCATGATCGAGGTACGTCAGATCTAGGTGCCGTCAGTGACATGTGAAAGATGTATCATGTCTGAGCATACCTTCAAGCATTGGGTACTCGATCTTCCGCATACGACTGATCCGATCATTGTAAGCACGTCGCTCACTGTCTTCGTCCCAGTGCTTATTATCGTTGGCAATCATGGGTCGTGGCCCGGCACGTTGGAAGCACTTCATCTTTTCGCAGAGGTGTCAAGCGTGTCAGATATGTGGAGAAGCTTTGAGACCGATCAATGCAGGAGAACAAAGGGATTGACTGTCTCAGATCGGGGTAAGCATGGACTATAACTACACACCCTTCTTCAGGCCGCGAAGACGACCGCATGCGTTCTGTCTGATCATACCCTTTCTCGGCCCCGTTCCCTAATCGCTAGTCTTGCAGATTACACAGGAAGTTACATCAACCTGCAAGAGTGCGGCACGCCTAGACGGGGCGTAAGTTCGAAAGAGGTCGATAGTCTGGACACTGGATTCAATGCGCCATGACGAAGGAACATCCCTTGTCACAAGCGACTCCACTCACTACATCCAATGCACAGCAATCAATCAACCACATCTACACATATTGGCTCTAGATAGCAGACGGCTGCATCACAGGAATCGGGCATCGTGGTCAGTCTTGCCTAATTCTGACTCTCCGGTCCAGAGTGAGTAAGATCGTTGCGTCTGGAAGAGGCGGAGCAAATCAGAACTACATAAATATCTAGAGTCGATCCTATCACAGTCACATATGCCATTGCGGCCTTCATGACTGTGCTTACTGCCCGACGGGCGTAGATTCGATGGTGGTCAGCACAGCCGATACTTCGCCGCCCAGTAAACCCATTTCCAGTCACCTTTATGGGAAGATATGACGATGATAGTAGAAGTATCATGTACTGGACTCGGAGTTGTAAATGTTCGCTTGTGGAAGCGCGCTTCAAATCACATCACATCGACACCGTCTATGATTCGCCATAGGTTCGCCCCTCTCCGTCCGCGGAGTGCAGAATTCATCTTCGCACTGTGATTTGATGCTTTTCAAGATCTTCTCGTTCAGGCACATGCAGTTCGCTGTCAATCAAGTAAGCCCTTCGTCCCCACGACTCGCACACGGCGCCATCATTACAATCGCGCAGCTAGTGTTGTACTCGGCACTCGTGGCACATGCAGTTCGCTTTGAATCGAGCAAGCCCTTGGACTCACAACTCGAACGCAACGCTATCATCCCAATTGCAGTCAGTCCCGAGTACGGCAGTTGCGAGGTGAACAGATCGAGCGGCCCGCGGCAACTACCACCGCTCCGCGTAGATTCTCTGTGGCTGCGGAGAGTTGCTCCTTGCGCAAGGGCTCCTGACGTTTGCAGCGATCTTTGACAACTCACTCTTTGTTCACAGTTTTTGGTCTCCCTAGTCTTGGGAAGTTACCGAAACCGTTCTAGCTGATGTCATCGAGCCATTCTTGAGAGGATGCGACCGGCGGTGAGAGTTCTCACCCTGATCTTGAGTTTTCGCTGGTGCCTACGCAATTCGGGGTCATGAAACGGCGCTGTTGAGTTTGGCACACCACATAATCACACGTAGGGGTTTGACTACCGTCCAAATCACAGCGGCGCAGTCCTCAATATATATATACCCAAGGTTACTCGCGAACACACTTCAGAATCGAGTGCGGAGCCCCCAAAGACAGTGGTGCAGTGAGATTTCCCTTCAAACTTATGGGCCATAAGCAGGCTATCGATCCCTGAAGAACGAACCACCAGCCCGGTCGCATTCGCGTACTGTCCCGTCCAATTACCAAGTGCGATGAGCAATGCCAGCCCATTGGGTCAGCGGTACTGCAAACGCCATTCGCAATAGCTTCCCGTCGCGTTGGGGCCAGCCCCGGCGGCGCGCCTAATGCCGACACACTGCCCTCAGACCTCCGGAGCCGTGCATGTACCAACTTCGCAAAAGTTTGCAAACAGCATCACCTAGTGACGGATACGTAATTCAGACGACACCCTTCTTACGCATCGGCTCCATCCTTTGGAAGGATGATGGTGTCGAGAGATAGGCGTGCATGAGTGGGGCTAGAACTACGCCTCACCTGGGCATCTAGCCGCTCATCCGCTCCAGGGCTATCTCGATGCAGCGCAAAGCCGTTTTTTGGTCTCGAGCCATACCTCTTCTTTCCTCTGTTTACTTAGATTGCGGCATAGTCGCGGCATACACCAAGAATGCGGCCCGCACTTTGACTAACTGTTGGTTGTGTTGATTGGTGTTCGCTAGAGCTAGCTGAGAAGAGCGAGACCTCTAAACCAATGTTGGAACAGGTGTTCGTATCGACCGATCAGTTCGGTGGCTTCTGCAGCATAGACAACCCCAACCGGCGGATGTATCTTACCTAGGCAGCGCTCAGATCTTGTAATATGTCCCTTCTACACATGTCTCGGTAACCGCTGCTGCGCCGGCTAGCTGGATTTGTGGTAACAGGCGATATCAAGCCGTGCTGAGATCCATCGTGTGTCCAGCCCGTCGCGCCGGCCTAGATGGTCTTCTTGATCAGTGGGCGACCGTTCGGCGTGAGGGCTGCGCTGAGATGGCATACATATGCACAGTGGCTTAGCATGTCCACACAGTGGCCGGATATTGGCACTCTACAGAGGTATGAACGGCGCTTAGGCAAAGACGGCGCTATCCACGCGCGCGAGCTGTTACATAACTCCGTTAGCCCACACCCACTTCGTAGATGCTGCAAAGTTGTTTGGGGGCTGAATGCCATAGCTGTCACAACAGCATCGCACGATTGGCCAGGTATCGATGTAAGCTGGACTAAGCTGTGTGGCTGTCCAGTACCGTTCGGGGCGCAAGCATCTGAAGATGAGGACGCGTCGAGTTTTGTGAGTCGCTGTTGCAGAACCGCCGCATAAAGCTATCGCTGAACGCGGACCCGCCCCTCCACATCAAGGTGGCTGACCTCATGTAGGAAGGCTCCAACATGCCAGTGACATGTGGTGGGGGCGTCGAAGGGTTACCCTTGGTCTTGGGGCCAGTTCTCGGTCAGCGGTTGATTGATAAAGGCAGTCTGTCTCTGCTGCAGATTAGAACTTGATGCTGCTCTCGAATTACTTACGAACTCCTAATACACGCCGAATGTCAGTGGAGCCTCGAGCGTTCTGGACTCTACTATCCTGCACGTTTATCCTCCCGCCCAATACAGCCTTCCTAGGCTGAATAGGCCCCTCGCCATGGTAAGTCAGCCAAGTGTACCCCTAAAGCAACTTCAAAAGACGGCTTCGCGCTGTCAATGTTGACGAGCGTGATACTGATTGTACCGACAGTCTGTCTTGCGCTCCGCCACGATATCCAGTCTGTCAGTCCCGTAGCGCAAGTCCGATGACGAAACGAGAGAAGATCAAGCGCGTCCGTGGCCGCTCCAATCACGGCGACACAGCGGAAAGGGTAGCATCCCTGACACGTTATACCAAACGATTATGGACAATGGAGGAGACTACCACGCATCTCCACACTGCTACTGCTACTGCCGGCGGAATGCTGTGGTAATGCTCAAGCCCAGAGTTCACTGTTGTTCTCCACCTTTCCCCTGAATGGTTTTGTGGCCCTTTGAGCTACAGTGTAGCGGGCCTTGTCGAAAGGTGCCAAGTGGAGGACCTCATATGAAGCCAATCGCAGCGATGCCACACCGCCTGGTTGGACTACTAGCGGAGTTTAGCTGTCGCCGATGCGCGCTCAAGCAATGTTTGCTTGGTTTCGAAAACAGCGGCACGAATTCGCGACGTTGAATCCAGAACAAGGCTCCATTGCAAGAAACGAAACGACGTCGTTGCCGAAAACTGCCGTTCAGCGGTGCTATCAAACAGCAGCGTCGGTGTTGCTGTAGTGGAGCAATCGAAACTCTGTCCGCCCGTGTTTCAGATGCATTCCCTGAGGGACTGCCTACCCGTCGCCTCAACGTGGATGTGGTAGTTGCGGCCATCCACGGTCGCATGCCCGGTCGCCTTGATCATCACCACCCACCACCACCATTATATGCTGGCGTGCACCTCATCTCCCTCAGTCTTCACACATCCTACATCCCGAGTCCTGGATCCATCGGCTTGGACTAAGAACTAGGGCCGTCGCACAAGGACTCTGCGCAGCAACACCCCAGCTCTTATTACCCCCTGCACGCTAACCGGCGCCAGCGAGACAGGTGTGTGAACATCCCTTCGCCATCCCCATCCATCTCGGATCATCTGCTTCACCAACTAGACCCAAGCTCTTTTATCTCGACCCTCTTCCGACTTGTCTTTACAATCTGTCATTCTCACACTTACCACTAGAAGCGTTCCTTGGTGCGGGAAAAATTAGAGGTGTCACGACCCATCCGGAAAGAAGAGTTGCACTCCTGTCACCAAAGTCGCCCAAGCCTTACCATCATGGAGTCCCTAGGGCCCTCGAGCTCCGGAGGTTACGACAATTACGTGTACGTTGAGCACAGCGATGCCGAAATGAGCGATGAGTTCTGCCGAGCAACAGACTCGACGGGTGATGCTGAACAGCACGAAAACTACGCCAATGCATCAGTTCAAGACCTAGATCAGCAATGGCTGGAGCATGAAGCCCATCAGAACGGTCCGTACGCTGACCATTTCGGCTACTCGCAATCCTCGCCGTCGGGGTACAGCCTACGATCCGGAGGTGGTCCAGCATACACTACTGATGGCCAGTGTGCTCACCAGACCCAAGAATTCGACCCCGGTCAGCCTTTCGACCCCTGCCAAGGGCCTGTCATGTACGCTGGAGACGGCAGCGCGGACCTGTATCCTCAGTACGCTGCGCCGGCAGGACACGACGACCGAGGGCTAGGAGTCACGCAACCACTTTACAACTTCCCCGACCTCAGACAGCCCTGTCTCACTTACAACCCTTACACCGAAGACAACAACACGATGCCTGCTCGACGAAATCCAGTCGTAAGATATCCGGTAGGCTCGCGAACCGCAGAGTGCCCTCAGGGAGCCCGGCAAAAGAATCTGGAACAGCACGTCAATCAGTTGATAGATGTGCTCAACACACCTGGCGTCCAAGGTACGACCAGCCGGGCACACGTTCCGGGCTCGATGTCACTTGACAACGAGTGGGGAGAGTCCAGCGTGGATACTTTACGCCCTTCTAGTACTC